AATATTTTACTGTATTTACATTTGTTTATTTGTTGCTGTCATTTTTTGACTTATGGAGAGACCCTGAGGGCAAAGCTGTCCTGGGGTTTTCTTGGCAATTTTCTTCAGAAGGGGGCTGCCAGTGCCATCCTCTGAGGCTGAGAGAGTGTGACTTGCCCAGAGTTTCCTAGTGGTTCTCCATGGCCAAGCCAGGATTCAAACCATGCTCTCCAGAATCATAGGACGTCATCACACGTGGGCCAGAAAGCAATAATAACGTGGAAATGAGGCATTCCGAAAATAAGCCTTGATTCCGCAAATGGCTTTCACACGTAATTACCTTAATTGCGAAATTAAAGTAAGCGCATTTAACGTTCACACACAAGCAAGAAAAGCCCGTAAATGTACTAGAAATGAGCTTCTTGCACATGCGCAGAAAGAGGAATGCTCGCCGTGGAACCATGGGAAAAAGCAGGGAAATGCTCCCAAATGCGCATTTGCTTTTCACATTATGGTAAATGCGAAATTACTATAATTTCACAAATGGGTTTCCTCAAAACTACCGAATTTCAAAAGATCTCGGATAACACCAGTTTCTGTCCAGTTTCTGTGCGATGTCGTGAGAAATCGTGAAGCACAAATCTAGTTTCTGTTTAGGATTTGTGTGGATTAACCAGCAGATTTCCCCTGTGTGATAAGGTCCCTAGTCCGACGCTCTCAGAATCTAAATACAGTTAAATTTATTTGTGCTATCTGGTTAAGCGCCATATCAGCAGCTTCTCTGGATGTTTTCTTGCCAAGTCCAGCAAGCCCTAAGAAGAGATTTACAACCATCTGGATTAATTGAGGGACTGAGTTTATTGAATCAAAACCAGAGAGACCAGGAAGAGCTTCCTGCTGGGCTGCATCAGTGTCTCTTCTCCTGCTCCATGAAAACATCAGCTCACAAGTAGGGCTCGTCTTTCGACAGTTCCCACTTCTGAGGCGGAAGGCCCGGTGTGATCGGCTTCTTCTCCACTGTTGCTACGGAAGTCTCCGGGCTGCGGGGGAGAGAGAGAGAAAGAAAATGGAAAATTTGGGAAGGAGATAAATCTCACAAGCCATACAAGTGGCCCAGCAGAGAATGTTGGACTAGAACTCCCATCGCCTCCTCACAGGCCATGCAGGTTAAAAACCTGAGACCTTAATATCATTCTGTCATTATGTTTAAGGAAGTGGACTTATATACACCAAAACTTGTGCTAAAATATAAATCACTTCAGTTCCTTTTTTAGGTCCCTTCCTCCCCCCCCCCCCAAAAAAAATTGGGATACAAAAAAAATCCTGGGGGAGCACATGGGGTACACTTTGCACAGTCCTATATAAGCCATAACATATCTTTCACAGCTCAGTCTGCCTAGACCAAAGGTAGCATCTGATAGCCCTATAGCTATTGCTGGGATTGCAACTCCCAGCAGTCCCAGCCAGCATAGAGCTGATGGAAACTACAATTCCAAGAAGATGTGGAGGACTACATATACTGTCTCCCAACTTCAAAATTTTTCCTACATGTAGGCTTTTCTGGCTGGTTCCTAAATATGGTTCCTTGTGGCCTCTTCCAATTCTATGATTCTAAATAACCACCAACGTGGCTCAGTTTAGCTTCCAGAAGGACTGGAGATCTAAGGGGAAAGAGGCAAAAGGAGGCACAGACCTGGAAGCTGGCATTCCCGGGGCCAAGGTTTTCTGTGAGGACACAAGGATGATAGGAGGGAAAGTCTCTCTTCGACCATCCCGAGTGCAGTAGTAATTGTTGGCAAACTTGTGGCTTGGGCCAACAGGGAGGCGTGGAGGAGGCTGAGTCCTAAAGGAAGCAAGGGGTTTAAAGACGGTCCAGTCCATCCAAGCAGAAAAACCTCTAGTCCACCATTGGAGAGCAGTGCTCTCTCTGTGCATGAGGAACTGCCACCTTTGCATCTGCTCTGCTTCTTCCATTCACCTGAGAGAGGTTTTATGCATTCATCTTGATTCATGCTTACTTCCCAACATTTGCTCAGACGTGTTCCTCTCAACAAGCCTGACAGGTAAGTCTGGGACAAAATCCAGGTGAGAAAGTTTCATGCCTTTGTGGGACTAGAACTCAGATCTTTCGAATGCCAGGCCAAGATGTTGACCACTATGTCACACTGCCCAAGTCTCATGCTAGCATTCCAATCTCTACACCAAAGTCCCACATCCTATGTCTGTGCATTTGGTTCCTGTGGCCTAAATGTCCAATTTTGAATTATGGTACAGTAAGAACTAGAACAGGGGTAGGCAACCTTTCCCCTTTAAGGGCCGAAGGACTTCAGCTCCCAGAATCCCAGGAGCTATTGGCCGACATGGGACTATTGGCCAACATGGCTGAGGCTTCTGGGAGCTGAAGTCCCTCGGCCCTTAAAGGGGAAAGGTTGCCTACCCCTGAAATAGAACTCTTAGGTCTCCGTCTAACCGCTAAACTACACTCAGTCAACTCCATTTCCCTGCTGAGCCCCCTCAGCTGTCTTTTTCCTGCACCAATCCCCCCCTTCAAAAATTAATTAATCCAAAATAGATTAATTACCTCTTGGAGATCTCTGTATAGCGCAGCTGCAGTTTGGCTTGGAGATCGCGCTGTTAAAACAAAGAAAAAGAGACACCTGTTCAGTGCAATTGTCCCCTCTTGAGGGAAGTTAGAGCCTGGAATAGTTACTTTTTGGATTCCATATCCCAGTATCCCCATGCCAACTATATTTGGGAATTTCCACATGTGGAAAATGGAACTGTTCCCTACAATGAAAAACCAAATGCAAAACAGTGAACAAGCGGAAGAACCTCTGCTCTGGAAAATTACTTTCTGGACTAGGTCTCCCCCAATTGTGCGGACACAAAAAAGTAATTTTTCTCCCTTCGAAAGTGGAATGCAAAATAAAAGCAGTGAATACACTTAAGTATCTCTACTTGGGAAAGCTACTTTAAGAACTAGATCTCCCCATAATCCCAAAACAGGCCATAATTCTGGGAAGTGTAGTTCAATGAAAGTAACTTCCTAACCTGCATTTAGGCCTTCTAAAAAGACCTAAACACTTTTGGCAGAGGAATTGGAAAGTTAGGGCCTTTGCAGACTGGTAGAAATAGTGCAAATTGAGTCCACTTTAACTGCCCTGGCTCAGTGTTAGGGAATCATGGGAATTGTATTATTTTTTTCTGAGACATTGAGCCTTCTCTGTCAGAGAGCTCTGGTGCCACAATAAACTACAGTTCCCATGATTCCCTAGCACTGAGACAGGGCAATTAAAATGGATTCAATTTGCACTATTTGTGGCAGTCGCAAAGGCCCTTACTTTTTGGGCAACTCCCGCAGAATTCCCCCAACCAGCCTTGCAGACCAGAGCCTTAATAGCCAGAACTGTGAGGGAACTACGATTCCCAGAAACCCTCGCGGATGACCAGGTACAGGGTGGGGCGGGGCCTAACGTTCAATTTAAATGCCCGCCAAGGGGGGGCGGGTGCGTCCCCATAAAGTCGTAGCGGCTGCCGCAACCGTAGGAGGCCTTCTTCCGCGCGGCGCCTCCCTCCTTACCCCGGACGCCCAGTTGCGAAGCCTCCGGACGAGGCCGGTGGCCGACGCCATCTTGGCCTCTGCTGTTGTCAAGGGCGAGGGGGCCGCGGGGCGTGCCGGGAAGAAGGGAAGCGGGCAGCTGCGTCACAGCCAACGGAGTCCTGGCAGGAAGGTCGGGATCTCGGCTAAGCAGTGTCGCCGCGCGGCATGCCGGGAAGAAGGGGAGGAGAAGGAAACCTCTGGCGCGTGGTGCATGATGGGAAGCGTGGCCGGAGAGCACTCGCAGTGCATTCTGGGAGGTGTCCCGAGAACCCCGATAGTGTGACTGGAAAACATTTATTTTTGGGTTTTTATATCGTTAAAGACGTCAATCCACTGACTGACTAAATATCATTAACAACGCTACAGTCAAAAACTAGCAATAAAGACTTTAGTCTTATGATGGCTGAGGAAAGGAACTGACAAAACAAATTTCTTTTAGTGACAGTTGGCGCGGGGCATGTCGGGAATAGAGAAGAAGAAAGAGGCCGGAGTCCGTCAGGTCTCGCGATAGTAGAGTGAGGCTGAGAGGCGGAGGGCCTAAAGAAAAGCCCGAAGTCTCGCGATGGTAGAGTGGGGTGAGAGGCGGAGAGTTTAAGAAAGGTCTCGCGATAGACGGAGACTTTGGCCCCGCAAACGTTTTGGACTCCGACTCCCAGAGGCCCCAGTCTCAATGGCCGACGGTCAGGATTTCTGGGAGCTGAAGTCCAAAGTGTGGGAGCCGAGGACGTTTCGAAGTCTCGCGATGGTAGCGGGAGCGTGCGAGGCGGGCAGGCCCGAGGTATCGCGATGCTTCAGCGGTCGTGGGCGTGGCCTCCGTTCCTCCAGAGGTGATATAAGGGCCCGGGCGCCGAGGCGGGCCTCTTTCCGCTCCCTGCCCGCCTCGCTTCCTCGGCCATGGACACCAGCCGCGTGCAGCCCATCAAGCTGGCCCGGGTGACCAAAGTGCTGGGCCGGACGGGCTCCCAGGGCCAGTGCACTCAGGTAGGGCGGCCGGGCTGCATCCCTTTCTGACTCCGCTTCCAGGACTGTGGGATTTGTAGTTTCCCCAAAAAAGTCCCAGCGATCTGTAGTTTGGGGAGGCGTTAGAGCTCTCTGGCAGAGAAGGCTGAAGATAAACCTTTAGTCGTCGTGTGCCTTCGAGTCTCTCCCCGGTTTCCTTGGCAAAGTTTCTTCAGGGGAGGTTTGATTGCCACCCACCTTTGCCTTCCCCTGAGGCTGAGAGAGTGTGACTCGCCCAAGGTTTCCCAGCTGGTTTCTGTGGTTGAATAATAATATAATAATAATAAAATTTTATTTGTAACCCGCCCCTCTGCAGA